ACGATATCTTCTTTTTTATCGACCCACAACTTTTATATTCGATATTGAGCAGCTTCTTACGTCGGGAAGAATCCAATAAGAGCAAAAACACGATTTAAAAATTTTGATTTTTGGTCGAAAATTTCATAAGAGGGACATAAGAAGTTTCTCAAAATACCTCGAGTGATACATCATTTTCATCTGAAAGCGACAAGGAATGCACCGAACTGATGAAGACACCGGGGCCTTTCCAGTTCCCAAATTATCAACATTTTCTGTCTATTTTGAACGGTTTTTGAGCGGTCGCAATCTTCAACGGACGATATCTTATTTATTATCGACCCACAACCTTCATATTCGATATTGGGCCGTTTCTTACGTCGGAAACAATCCAATAAGAGCAAAAAACGCGCTAAGTATATTTTCGGCTTAAAATCGTGGTTTTTGTTGGAATTTAGGAAGTTTTGTTTAAATTTATTTTTCAGCTGGTTTCTCTTCGGAAATTTATCTGTCATACGAAGTTGGTCTAAACATCACAAACGTGTTATTCTCGCTAGCTACGAAGTTAGTTTAACTAACTTAACTTAACTTAACTAACTAAACGTGCTAAGTATCGTCTCACCTCCGAATAGTCGTTTTTGTCGGATTTAAGGAAGTTTTCTGCAAATTTCTTTTTCAGCTGGTTTTTCTTCGGAAATTTAACTTTGTCTATCAAACTTGGTCTAAACCTGACAAACGTGTTTTTCTCGATAACTACACAGTTGGCCAAACGTCACAATAGTGTTTTTCTTGCTAAGTAAACGTGCTAAGTATCGTCTCAGCTCCAAATCGTCGTTTTTGCTGCAATTTAGAAAGTTTTCTGCAAATTTATTTTTCAGCCGGTTTATCTTCGGAAATTTAACTTTGTCATTCAAACTTGGTCTAAACATCACAAACGTGTTTTTCTCGATAACTACAAAGTTGGCCAAACGTCACAATCGTGTTTTTCTCTCTAAGTAAACGTGCTAACTATCTTCCCAGCTACAAATCGTCGTTTTTGTTGGATTTTAGGAAGTTTTCTGCAAATTTGTTTTTCAGCTGGTTTCTCTTCAGAAATTTAACTATGTCATACAAAGTTGGTCTAAACATCACAATCGTGTTTTTCACGCTAACTAAACGCGCTAAGTATCTTTTTATCTCCGAATCGTCGTTTTTGTTGGATTTTAGGAAGTTTTCTGCAAATTTCTTTTACAGCTGGTTTCTCTTCGGAAATTTAACTTTGTCATTCAAACTTGGTCTAAACATTACAAACGTGTTTTCCTCGCTAACTACAAAGTTGGCCAAACACCACAATCGTGTTTTTCTCGCTAAGTACACGTGCTAAGAATCTTCCCAGCTCTAAATCGTCGTTTTTGTTGGAATTTAGGAAATTTTGTGCAAACTTATTTTCCAGCTGGTTTCTCTTCAGAAATTTGAGTTTGTCATACAAAGTTGGTCTAAACATCACAAACGAATTTTTTTCGCTAACTAAACGCGCTAAGTATCTTTTCAGCTCCGAATATTCGGTTTTGTTGGATTTTAGGAAGTTTTCTGCAAATTTATTTTTCCGGTGGTTTCTCTTCAGAAATTTAACTTTGTCATACAAACTTGGACTGAACATCACAAACGTGTTTTTCTCGCTAACTACAAAGTTGGCCAAACACCACAATCGTCGTTTTTGTTAGAATTTAGGAAATTTTGTGCAAATTTATTTTTCAGCTGGTTTCTCTTCAGAAATTTAACTTTGTCATACAAAGTTGGTGTAAACATCACAAACGTATTTTTCTCGCTAACTAAACGCGCTAAGTATCTTTTCAGCTCCGAATAGTCGTTTTTGTTGGATTTTAGGAAGTTTTCTGCAAATTTGTTTTTTAGCTGGTTTTCCTTCGGAAATTTAACTTTGTTATACAAACTTGGTCTAAACATCACAAACGTGTTTTTCTCGCTAACTACAAAGTTGGCCTAACACCACAATCGTGTTTTTCTCGCTAAGGAAACGTGCTAAGTATCTTCCCGGCTCCAAATCGTCGTTTTTGTTGGAATTTAGAAAGTTTTCTACAAATTTGTTTTTCAGCTGGTTTCTCTTCAGAAATTTAACTTTGTCATTCAAAGTTGGTCTAAACATCACAAACGTGTTTTTCTCGCTAACTACAAAGTTGGTCCATACATCACAATCGTGTTTCTCTCGTTGACTAAAAATTTTAGAGATAGTTAAGAATCTCGAGTTAGTTAAAAGTTGGTTTAAACAACACAAACGTGTTTCTCTCGCTAACTAAAAATTTTAGAGATAGTTAGGGATCTCGAATTAACTATTAAAAAATTTTAGAGATAATTAAAAA